TTCCTTTCCCATCCTTTCCCTTCCTTTCCCTTCCTTTCCCTTCCTTTCCCTTCCTTTCCCTTCCTTTCCCTTCTTTTTCCTTCCTTTTTCCTTCCTTTTTCCTTCCTTTCCTTTCGTTTCCTTTCGTTTCCCTTCCTTTTTCCTTCCTTTTTCCTTCCTTTCCCTTTGTTTCCCTTCCTTTCCCTTCCTTTCCCTTCCTTTCCCTTCCTTTCCCTTCCTTTCCCTTCCTGTCCCTTCCTTTCCCTTCCTTTCCCTTCCTTTCCCTTCCTTTCCCTTCCTTTCCCTTCCTTTCCTTTCCCTTCCTTTCCCGTCCTTTCCTTTCCTTTCCTTTCCCTTGCACCCACGCCGTCCGCACACCACCGTTCGAGCCAGGTCGCTCCCCCACGCGGTTAAACAACTAAACGAGAACCCAAGCATCGAAGATGCTTTTGGGAAAAAACAAAACATATATTTGCGTATGATGGCGGTTGTGTAATGTATGCATAATATGAAATATACATTTAATCTATATATATATACAACGGCACCCCCAAAGTATTCTACAACAGTGACCAGAAGAGTTGCAGCTTGGCCCTTTTAAGCATCGACAAGGCATACTTCATTGGAAAAATCATCCACAGCTGGCAAGATCACATCCCTTTTCAGGGAAATTTCGGATGGTGCGCCACAAAGTGAAAGGGAATCCACTGTTGGAGGATTCGTGCATAGGCGGTTTAGAGCCTATGGTTTGCAAGTCCTACTGGTGCTATATCCCACATAGAAGCATGTTCTAAAACAAACAATGATGGCTCACGATCTCAACCTGGGTTGGTAGGTTCTCGGCTTATTTGTTGCAGGTTTTTACTTGCCGCAAGTCGTGGATCCAACAAGGACAGCCACTCAATGGAGCCAAGCCATGCTGCTGATGATCCAGCTCAAAGGGAGTCGCTACGCCAACGCCATCGCGTACAACTGCGCCCATCGTCGGATCTGTAAACTGTGGAGATGTCGGGGGGGTTGTGGACCATGGAAAAACCATGGGGATATCATGAACGTTCATGTGATACAGCCGGAAATAGCACCAACAGCAACAATTGGTTTGTTAACAAAAGTTGGAGTGCAAATAAGTCCTGAATGTTTTCTGGAGGATGAAGGTTTTAGTGATCATTACACGCTGGGGATCTTGGGGGGACCTTGTTTGAGTTGTTTCTAGTTATTAAGTGGGTAATGAACATGGTTAGTTGACCCAGTTCTGTGTTGGATTCTAAATTTAGATTAAATAGATAGATAGATAGACAGACAGACAGATAATGATAGATAATGATAGACAGGTAACATCTTTGGTTTCATAGCGGTAAACCACCTGCCGACTTGGGTTCACATCCAGGGAATGACTGGGTTTCGTTAAGCTTCTGTTTTTGGCTGAGGTTTTGAGTGCCTGTGATTTCGCCGGCAGAGTTGCATCAGTGGTGCAGTTGTTGGTCGAATTGGAGGACCCTTGGTGAGAAGTCGAAGCGGATGCGATAGGTAAGATTCTTGGTTGCTACACTCCCCTGGCCAGTGATGAAGAAAAGAACATGTCATCGATTATTGGATTGGCGCTTTCCAATATTTTCTGGAGAACGATCCAAAATTGGTACATTACTTACTGGTGCTTAGCAGGGAATGAGGGAATGATCCATAATCACTAGTAATAATCATCCCATTCCCCCATTCCCATCCATTCCCTACTAAGCATCAGTAAGATTAAAACGGGGATTTACACCAGCCACCAAGAAACGAATGGCTACGCCATGCTGACCAGTTTCTCCTGCCAGGACGCTTTGTGGCACCAAAGGTGGTTAAAAAGATTGGGCGTGCGCCGACGGTGCAGCCTAAGCTCATGGTGGGATTCATCACATGTCCTAGCTTTGGCAAAAAGGATAATAATTGGATATATATATATACACATATTGAGAATAATGGGATGATAGTTAATGGTTTTATTTGGAACGGGATGATAATGGGACCGTATTCATTTGACCGCCTTTGCATGACCTGCACATTTGACAGAAAACCTGGCACCAAGATTTGCCAGAGGCATCGTCTGAAAATTGGGTCCAAAATACTGGCAGGCTGCCAGAAATCTGCCTTTTGTGCGCTGGGTTCAATAACTCCGAAAATTCAGGACCCAAGGAAGCACAGATATGGGCAAATATTGGCAATGTTTGTTGTGTTTTTGTTTTCATTTGGTATTGTTAAAGCAATGACCTGTGTTACTTTGTGTCTCACCCAAAAGACGAGATGTGAACGGACTTCACTCTATGCATTAAAAAGAATTTCCAAAGATGGCGAATTCCGCAAGCGTCTTTGAGATCAAAACTGGCTGCATGATGGAGCAATCCAGTTGAAGTGGCAGCCAAATGCGTACAGGAGTGGCTTGATGTGCTGCATATGACAGATATGGGGGTTTCCATCAATGTGGGTACCCGAAAATGGATGGTTTATAATGGAACATCCTACTGACATGATTGATTAAGAGGTTCCCCTATTTTAGGAATCCTCCATATTGTTGTGTGTTCTCTTTCAAGTGACTTTCAACCCATTTTCTGCATCATATGTTCCTGATTCACCCTGTGAGTCTGTGCATAGACCATTACGGTAGAAAGCGTTGCATGCCGCAGGCGTAGTTGCAGAATTGAAGCGCAGGAAAGGTGTCTCAACTACAATGGGTGCAGCGGGGCTGGAAAAAACGGGGCTACGGCTACAATAGGATTGTTTCGCAAGACCCCGCAATCCAGTTCAACCACGAAATTGCTGGTGTCCATTTGATAAACTCAAATCTCCCTTGTGGTTGTGAATTGAAGCTGATTTAGCCCAGATCCCTGCGGATTCAGCGGCGAAAGATTTGAAAATCCAGAAATTTCAGTAGAACTATAATATAGATAAATAATGATAAATATATGTATAGATAATAGATATTCCCTCCAACTCGGAATTTCCGTGATGTGCCAATTTACATATTTGATTACCAGACGCTGAAATGGTGCGATCATTACATTTCCCGCGTTTGAGCGGTCCATTGTCTCCAAAAAGATTCAGAAAAGTCATTGTCATTTACCATCACGGTACTCTAGGATTCTATTTTCAGAGTTCTATCTTTTTGTCGGATTGCTATTGTATATGGATGTTTCCATATGTGTCCCCATGACAACCGTCATTTGTGGAAAACATTGGAAAACACCATTTTCAGACACACCCAAAAAAATCAGACTGGTTATGCTCAGGATATCCCCACGGATATCCCCATTGAATAGCGGTCATGGTCTTAGTTAAAATCGTAGCTTTCTGGAGAAAATCCCAGGCGTTTCCAGGCCATGGCGCTAGCTCCATGCGGCACTGGTGGCAGTGCTTGGAGTCGGTCGATGCGGTGGTCTGGACAAAAGCTATCAGAGGTGGTGCCCCCCCAGTGATGTGAACGTTGGTGGTTTATCACCCCCATGAAGAGGCAGTATAGGTATATGTCTACCATAAAGCCAAGGTATTGGAGTTATAAACCAACTTAACTATGGGGCACCACATTGCCGTTTTTTTTAACACTTAAACTGGGTAGAGAACTGGGTAATACGGGGGCTTTGAGTGGTCGGGGTCAATAGTTATATAACCATAATTAACCATATTAGCCATGATATATGACTAAACCCTTGCAATATGTCTCTCGGATTTTTTCGGGGGATACTACCGATCACCATGGGGAGCTTCGGCAAGATGACCAAATTTCTTGGGCCCTAAAGTTGAGTTGAGGAACATCCCAACATATAGACCATGCGCATGTTCATTTTTGAGACGTGAACTAAAGGGGATATTATGTTCATCACAACCACGATATCTATATAGGAGGAACAAAAACCTTTGTTTCCTGCTGTTTTTCCCATAAACCGATCCAATACCCAATGAATGTGCTGACCACAATGGGCATCAATGGACAATTTTCAGTAGTAAACACCATCCAGTTGAACGGCGGTCAAGGATTTCTAACCAGCCTCACTGAAACTAAACATATGGATTTAGCAATAAAAAACTGGTTGGTGGTTTGGAACATTTTTTATTTTCCATAATATATGGGATAATCCTTCCCATTGACTAATATTTTTGAAGATGGTTAAAACCACCAAATAGAAAATGTTATAGCATTTGCCCCCCAAAACACCTGGATTCAACTCACAAGATTGATGAAACCCCAGAAAAATTGGCTCAAACCTGGTCTCCTCTGAACGGAGATGACGCAGGTGGAAACTGGGACGTGGCGATTTGGCGATTGGCATCTTTGGAAAAGAAACGCATTCAGAAGGACGCCAGTCGGTAAGATTACCATACTATGCAGGGAAGAGAGTTTTGACATCGCATTGATAGCCGAAAGATGCAAAATTCAGCTTCCCTAGCATTTACAACATGTCGGAAACTTGTTCAAGTTGTTTGACAATCGGAGCTGTCAATGTCAAAGTTGACATGAAATGGGCATGTTTTTCATGGGCCAAGCCCTGCTGGGGTCGCCAGGATGTGGTTCTTTGCAACACCGTCATCAGTTGCTGTGAGAAAAGCTCTCAGTGGTCTCAAAGTCTGAAAGTCTTGCTGGAGCTGCACTCGCTCCTGGACCACCGTTGTTGCCAGGATTTTTTCTATCAGCCGGGGAGGATAGCTGTAACTGATTAGTTGATTGGTTGATTGGTTGATTGTTCTTAACATGTTTGATTATTTCCTATCTCGTTTGGGATGATCACAATTGACTAGCACCACGTAGGACTATGTACTACTATAGGGTTTGGGGCTTCAAGTTTGTTTATTGGTTTTTGAACTTCCCAGTCCTCCAGGCGCTCCGTTCCAGGTTGATGGGCGCATCTGTGGTTTCCTGTGGAGCGGTGATCGGAAACTGTGAAAAGTCCTCGCAGTGGCAGTGGGCGGTGCAAACTTTCTCTGCCATGCAGGAGTTCAAGCTGGAAGCAAATGTGACTTGATTTCTTTTGACAATCCTGTGCACAGGGTAACCATGGGTAACCCAAGACCTAGGAAGGTTTGACAAATCTGATCCAACGGGTGCCATATGGGGCATGGAAGGTATCGGTATGGTTGCTTGAATCCTTCTGATTGTTGCTGATTCCGCATCCCCATTTTTGCTTGTTGAATTTAAGAATAGTGGTGACAATGATGGTATAGTCTTTAGTGGTTTAATAGTGATTGAAGAATGATAATGGTAATCATGATTGACAACATTGAACACGATAGAGCATTGCAATCACAATAATCATTATAGTTGGATGATTAGTAAGTTTTGAGTCATAATTATAATGATAATCAGAAGCTAGAATGATGCTCACACAATCATCCAATGAACATAATGGCCTACTAACCGTAGCTCGAAACATGATGAATACCTTGTTGATTGGTGATTATAGGGAGTTACCACGTACCTGGCTTATTGGATTGTAAACTAACCGAGCCCATATGAGGGTGTCCTAAAATGGTGGTACCCCCAAATCACCCATGTTATTTTTGGGTTTTCCATGAAATAAAGCATCCAGCTATTGCGCTACCCCCACTCTCGGAAACCCCTATAGGGAAACCTACTTGGATGTGCATCCCACTTACGATCCCTGGTTTATAATCCACAACCCAGATTTCATTCATGTTCATACCATATATATATATATATCGATATATAAGTGGGGCCTAAGTGGGGACATTCCATCTATATCTCTCTATATGTATATATTATACTTTATGTCATCAACTATAACCATCTATATTTCCATGTATGTTCATCTACCGAGATATTCATACCATATATAGCATATATACCTGGGTATATATCAACTGGCGATGGTAACCCATCAACCAACTGGCCATTTGAATATATATAAAACTATGGTCATTTGAATAGCCACATACATATATATATATATACCATCTATACTATCTATATTTCCATATATATATATATATACACATAAATATACATAAATTACATATTCATACCCAGATGGTCATATGTAAAACTTGTAACCCATCAACTGGTTTCACCAGCAGGCCATCTCCAGCAGCTCCACGATTTCAGCCTGTCGCGGCGGCTTCGCAGACGCCTGGCAAGGCCGCGAGCGAAAATTGGAGATGTGTCGATGAGATGTGGGAAATGTTGGGTAAATAAGATGGATAGGATTCAATTTACCCAGATATATTCAACATGAGTTGATATTTCATGACTGATATTAGGACATAAACAATTGAAAATGATTAAATTTAACATAGACCCGGGCAAGCCGGCGGCGGAAGTTTCCCAAGAATAAATGACCTATAGTTCGACGCCAGCCTGTCCCGACCGTGTCCTTCCCTCGACAAGCGGCTTTTTTTTTCAGCGAGAGACGAAGCAAAGTCTTCACACTCCACACTTCGCACTCCACACTTCACACTGCACTCTTCGCACTCGAAACTTCACACTTCACACTCCACACTTCGCACTCCACACTTCACACTTCTCACTTCTCGCTGCTGCCTTCACACTCCAAACCTCACACTTCACACTTCACACTGCGCTCTTCGCACTCCAAACTTAAACTTCACACTCCACACTTCACACTCCACACTTCACACTTCACAGTTCACACTTCTCACTGCTTCCTTCTCACTTCGCACTTCACACTCCACACTTCACAGTCCACACTTCACAGTCCACACTTCACAGTCCACACTTCACACTCCACACTTCACACTTCACACTTCACACTCCACACTTCACACTTCACACTTCACAGTCCACACTTCACACTTCACACTTCACAGTCCACACTTCACACTTCTCACTTCTCACTGCTTCCTTCACACTCCAAACTTCACACTCAACCTTCACACTTCGCACTTCACACTCCACACTTCACACTTCCCGCTTCACAGTCCACACTTCACACTTCTCACTTCTCACTGCTTCCTTCACACTCCAAACTTCACACTTCACACTTCTCACTTCGCACTTCACACTTCACAGTCCACACTTCACACTTCACACTTCTCACTGCTTCCTTCACACTCCAAACTTCACACTTCACACTTCACACTTCTCACTTCGCACTTCACACTTCACAGTCCACACTTCACACTTCTCACTGCTTCCTTCACACTCCAAACTTCACACTTCTCACTTCGCACTTCACACTCCACACTTCACAGTCCGCACTTCACACTTCTCACTTCTCACTGCTGCCTTCACACTCCAAACCTCACACTTCACACTTCACACTCACTCTTCGCACTCCAAACTTAAACTTCACACTCCACACTTCACACTTCTCACTTCCCACTGCTTCCTTCACACTGTACACTTCACACTGCACTCTTCACACTGCACTCTTTGCACTCCAAACTTCACACTAGTCCACACTTCACACTTCTCACTTCTCACTGCTTCCTTCACACTCCAAACTTCACACTTCACACTTCACACTGCACTCTTCACGCCCCACACTTCACACTGCACTCTTCACACTCCACACTTCATCTCATCTGAGCTCTTCTCACCTTATCCCAGCTCATCTCTTCTCATCTCGTCCCTTCTCATATGTCATCTATTAAGCTTTCATTAATCAATTCCCAGCACTACTACTAATCACTGTCGAACCCTTGATGCACCTACTCCAATACGATTTACGAAGTCCAGTTGCAAAAGACAATAGTATTGCGCATGCAGCCGCGGCAAGAAGCAACCTTGACGCAGCCATTACAATGCGATCTGCAGAGACTGAGTTGCAAAGCACAATAGAACTACGCACAACGGCGTCGGAAATTGTAGCTCCAAAACCGGATCTCGACGCCAGAGCGAAAAAAAGACGATTTTGAAACACTTTTTAAAAGAATTTTAAAAAAGAAAATCACTGGCGCCAAAATGGAGAAAATCTGCTGACAAATCAATGTCGCAGCCTTCATGCAGCCACTCCAATACGATTTACGAAGTCCAGCTGCAAAAGACAATAGTATTACGCATGCAGCCGTGGCAAGAAGCAACCTTGACGCAGCAATTACAATGCGATCTGCAGAGACTGAGTTGCAAAACACAATAGAACTACGCGCAACTGGGTCGGAAATTGCAGCTCCAAAACCGGATCTCGACGCCAGAGCGAAAAAAAAGACGATTTTGAAGCACTTTTTGAAAGGATTTTTAAAAAGAAAATCACTAGCGCCAAAATGGAGAAAATCTGCTGACAAATCACTGTCGCAGCCTTCATGCAGCCACTCCAATACGATTTACGAAGTCCAGTTGCAAAAGACAATAGTATTGCGCACTCCACACTTCACACTTCACACTTCACAGTCCACACTTCACACTTCTCACTTCTCACTGCTTCCTTCACACTCCAAACTTCACACTCCAAACTTCACACTTCGCACTTCACACTCCACACTTCACACTTCCCGCTTCACAGTCCACACTTCACACTTCACACTTCTCACTGCTTCCTTCACACTCCAAACTTCACACTTCACACTTCACACTTCTCACTTCACACTCCACAGTCCACACTTCTCACTGCTTCCTTCACACTCCAAACTTCACACTTCTCACTTCGCACTTCACACTCCACACTTCACAGTCCACACTTCACACTTCTCACTTCACACTTCTCACTTCTCACTGCTTCCTTCACACTCCAAACTTCACACTCCAAACTTCACACTTCTCACTTCGCACTTCACACTCCACACTTCACAGTCCACACTTCACACTTCTCACTTCTCACTGCTGCCTTCACACTCCAAACCTCACACTTCACACTTCACACTCACTCTTCGCACTCCAAACTTAAACTTCACACTCCACACTTCACACTTCTCACTTCACACTTCACAGTTCACACTTCTCACTTCCCACTGCTTCCTTCTCACTTCGCACTTCACACTCCACACTTCACAGTCCACCCTTCACAGTCCACACTTCACACTCCACGCTTCTCACTTCTCACTGCTTCCTTCACACTCCAAACTTCACACTTCACACTTCACACTGCACTCTTCACGCCCCACACTTCACACTGCACTCTTCACACTCCACAGTTCATCTCATCTGAGCTCTTCTCACCTTATCCCAGCTCATCTCTTCTCATCTCGTCCCTTCTCATATGTCATCTATTAAGCTTTCATTAATCAATTCCCAGCACTACTACTAATCACTGTCGAACCCTTGATGCACCCACTCCAATACGATTTACGAAGTCCAGCTGCAAAAGACAATAGTATTGCGCATGCAGCCGCGGCACCAAGCAACCTTGACGCAGCCATCACAATGCGATCTGCAGAGACTGAGTTGCAAAACACAATAGAACTACGCGCAACTGGGTCGGAAATTGCAGCTCCAAAACCGGATCTCGACGCCAGAGCGAAAAAAAAGACGATTTTGAAGCACTTTTTAAAAGGATTTTTAAAAAGAAAATCACTGGCGCCAAAATGGAGAAAATCTGCTGACAAATCACTGTCGCAGCCTTCATGCAGCCACTCCAATACGATTTACGAAGTCCAGCTGCAAAAGACAATAATATTACGCATGCAGCCGTGGCAAGAAGCAACCTTGACGCAGCCATTACAATGCGATCTGCAGAGACTGAGTTGCAAAACACAATAGAACTACGCGCAACTGGGTCGGAAATTGTGACTCCAAAACCGGATCTCGACGCCAGAGCGAAAAAAAGATGATTTTGAAGCACTTTTTAAAATGATTTTTAGAAGGAAAATCATTAGCCCCAAAATGGAGCAAATCTGCTGACAAATCACTGTCGCAGCCTTCATGCAGCCACTCCAATACGATTTACGAAGTCCAGTTGCAAAAGACAATAGTATTGCGCATGCAGCCGCGGCACCAAGCAACCTTGACGCAGCCATTACAATGCGATCTGCAAAGACTGACTTGCAAAACACAATAGAACTACGCGCAACTGGGTCGGAAATTGCAACTCCAAAACCGGATGGATCTCGACGCCAAAGCGAAAAAAAAAGATTTTGAAGCACTTTTTAAAAGAATTTTTAAAAGGAAAATTATTAGCGCCAAAATGGAGAAAATCTGCTGACAAATCACTGTCGCAGCCTTCATGCAGCCACTCCAATACGATTTACGAAGTCCAGCTGCAAAAGACAATAGTATTACGCATGCAGCCTTGGCAAGAAGCAACCTTGACGCAGCAATTACAATGCGATCTGCAGAGACTGAGTTGCAAAACACAATAGAAATACGCGCAACTGGGTCGGAAATTGCAGCTCCAAAACCGGATCTCGACGCCAGAGCGAAAAAAAGACGATTTTGAAGCACTTTTTTAAAGGATTTTTAACAAGAAAATCACTGGCGCCAAAATGGAGAAAATCTGCTGACAAATCACTGTCGCAGCCTTCATGCAGCCACTCCAATACGATTTACGAAGTCCAGCTGCAAAAGACAATAGTATTACGCATGCAGCCAAAAGAGGAAGCAACACTTGCAATCCCATTTACACTGCGGGAACGATCCTACAGTTGCAAAGAACAATGGAATTCCATCGGCAACTCATCCACCAGCACCACTTGCAATGCCATTTGCATTGCGGGAACGATCCTACACTTCCAAATCACAATGGAATTCAATCGGCAACTCATCCACCAGCACCACTTGCAATCCCATTTACATTGCGGGAACGATCCTACAGTTGCAAATCACAATGGAATTCTGTCGACCGCACATGCACGAAAAACACTTGAAACCCCATTTACAATGCGGAACCGATCCGAGACCGATCCGACCATGATCCGAGCATGATCCGACCACACACGAGACCGTCTCGCACCCGTCGCACCGCAGAGGTAGATCATCGACGTTCGGGGACGCACTTTGTATGGAAAAACATAGGGTTTCGTGCATCTGCTATCTCTCAAAAACGCATTTCGTGCGAGACTTCCTCCAAAACTCCATCGGCAACTCCTCCACCAGCACCACTTGCAATCCCATTTACAGTGAGGGAACGATCCTAGAGTTGCCAATCACAATGGAATTCCATCGGCAACTCATCCACCAGCACCACTTGCAACCCCATTTACAATGCGGGAACGATCCTATACAGTTGCAAATCACAATGGAATTCTGTCGACCGCGCATGCACGAAAAACACTTGAAACCCCATTTACAATGCGGAACCGATCCGACCATGATCCGAGACCGATCCGACCATGATCCGACCACACACGAGACCGTCTCGCAACCGTCGCACCGCAGAGGTAGATCATCGAGGTTCGGGGACGGACTTTGTATGGAAAAACATAGGCTTTCGTGCATCTGCTATCTCTCACAAACGCATTTCGTGCGAGACTTCCTTCAAAACTCTATCGGCAACTCCTCCACCAGCACCACTTGCAATCCCATTTACAGTGAGGGAACGATCCTATAGAGTTGCAAATCACAATGGAATTCCATCGGCAACTCATCCACCAGCACCACTTGCAACCCCATTTACAATGCGGGAACGATCCTACAGTTGCAAATCACAATGGAATTCTGTCGACCGCACATGCACGAAAAACACTTGAAACCCCATTTACAATGCGGAACCGATCCGACCATGGTCCGAGCATGATCCGAGAATGAGATCCGACCACACACGAGACCGTCTCGCAACCGTCGCACCGCAGAGGTAGATCATCGAGGTTCGGGGACGGACTTTGTATGGAAAAACATAGGCTTTCGTGCATCTGCTATCTCTCAAAAACGCATTTCGTGCGAGACTTTCTGCAAAACTCCATCGGCAACTCCTCCACCAGCACCACTTGCAATCCCATTTACAGTGAGGGAACAATTTCTTTGACTAACTCGTTCCCTAACGAACTCTTTCTTTGCTAACTCTTTCTTTGCTCTTTCTTTGACTAACTCTTTCTTTGCTATTTCTTTCTTTGACTACCTCACATATCCTGACTAACTCTTTCTTTGACTAACTCTTTCCCTCACTAACTCTTTCTTTTGACTAACTCTTTCCCTGACTAACTGTTTCTTTGACTAACTCTTTCTTTGACTAACTCTTTCCCTGACGAACTCTTTCTGTGACTAACTCTTTCCCTCACTAACTCTTTCTTTGACTAACTCTTTCCCTGACTAACTGTTTCTTTGACTAACTCTTTCTTTGACTAACTCTTTCCCTGACGAACTCTTTCTTTGCTAACTCTTTCTGTGACTAACTCTTTCCCTCACTAACTCTTTCTTTGACTAACTCTTTCCCTGACTAACTGTTTCTACCTCACATATCCTGACTAACTCTTTCTTTGACTAACTCTTTCCCTCACTAACTCTTTCTTTGACTAACTCTTTCCCTGACTAACTGTTTCTTTGACTAACTCTTTCTTTGACTAACTCTTTCCCTAACGAACTCTTTCTTTGCTAACTCTTTCTGTGACTAACTCTTTCCCTCACTAACTCTTTCTTTGACTAACTCTTTCCCTGACTAACTGTTTCTTTGCTAACTCTTTCCCTGACTAACTCTTTCTTTGACTAACTCTTTCCCTGACGAACTTTGACTAACTCTTTCCCTGACTAACTGTTTCTTTGCTAACTCTTTCCCTGACTAACTCTTTCTTTGACCAACTCTTTCCCTGACGAACTCTTTCTTTGCTAACTCTTTCTTTGACTAACTCTTTCCCTGACATTCTAAAAGTCCGCAACACGGAAGTTTCTCCCCCTAAACTTCCTTTGATAACCATAATATGATATCATGTGGGGTAAATCAATGCCACTTTTACCACCCATAAATTTGGGAAAGGTAAACATAGCACCAAACAAAAATGGTAAGGTGGGAATCATGGCAATACCCCCTGGTAATGACTAACGTAGCTATTGAACATGGCCATTGATAGTTCATTTAGCCATTCAAATGCATTTTTCCATGGCAATGTTATGATTACCAGAGGGTAATCATTCTACATATCATCATTAGATGATATGATTACTTTTTGGACGATAATGATACGATCAACATTAGATGATTTTTCATGACAGATGATATAATGACATTACTCTATGTATATCATTTAGTTTTTGACATGGTCATAGTTATATGAACAGAAATTGTGATATTTTTGTGGATGATACCTTTTTGCTGATTTTGCTGAGGGGCATGTTAACCCAGTATTTTGCTCAACCCATTACGAATAGTGGGTACCAATTTGCCAGGGTCAGGGTGTACTAATCCGGGGCTGACATGAATGGATTCGGGGGAATCATCGAAATAGAGATGCTGTTAGTCTAATGTTCATCGCGCAGATGTACAGATGGTCGCAGATAATTAGAGTAGACTCTTATATGTAGTTGCATTCATGCATATGTTTGTGCTTGATGTTTGTAAGGTGTACATATGTGTATACATGTATAATCACATCCAGTTCAGCTGCATCTACTCCTTGCTATCAAACCATTATCAAAAATAATCAATTTGAACTCATGACTCTCTTTCAAACTATCCACATAGCTACTCCTGAGAGGAAAGTGTTGAGCAACCCATTTGACCCTGTTGTAAATTAACTTCTGGAAATCCATGGTTATCTCCCCTTTCAAATCTGATCGACATTCATGATGGATTTTCCATTCCATACGGTGCATGGAAGAAATCCTGCACCAGCTGGTAGATGGCTTATCCCATTATCACCGTAATATTTAGTATGTTTCATAGTTACCGATAGTTGCCATCTGGTGCAGGATTACTGCCATCCACAGTATATTGTCTTCTCCAGAGGTGCCACGAGCCTTCTTCATGACTTTGCTTCCTCATCGCTGCAAGCAGATGTCATCGCTTTCAACAGTGCCATCACTGCGGCTGGCGAAGCTCAAGCCTGGCATTCGGCCGCTTGGAAGCCGTTGATGAAATTTTGAGACCCCGTAAAACTGGAAAAATAATTTGCCGAGCATTGGGAAAATACATGAACATATGATGAAAATATGTATTGCCTGGGAAAATGATTTGCCAATTATTAAAAAAAACAATCTGCGAAGTGGAAGAACTCGGGTTAGTGGATGATGTTCCGGAAGGACGATGCATTTCAGCTGCAAACAAGGTGGCAAATTATTGCAAAGTCACCAGGCCAAATATGCAAAGAGTTTGCATTAATAATTAAGACTCTAAACACTGACACCGGATTTTCTTGAAGTGGCAGCACATGTGGCAGCACTGCGAGTTCTTGAAACTTTCCAGACCAGAGCGAGGAAATTCGGTGGCCAGTGTTTCTTAAACATGTGTAGGACAGCCATGGCTGTCTTGTGCATAAACAATAATTGATGTTCTTCAAACTAATTAAGCCCTGATTGGCACAATGCCTCACAACCACTGCTGTGCTGTTCTCAAACCATCAGCGACGGACTACGTGGAGGTGGCGCAAAGGACTACCATATATCATGTAAAACAAAGGCTACCAGGGCCATTCCGTACATGGGATAGGTGCTGTTGTGGTGCGTTCTCATTTCTCATGAAATGAAAAACAATTAGTGCTGGATAAGCAAAGCATAACAAGCAAAGCATATAAAATTTAGATAAATTTAGGGATATCCAGGGATCAGATGATTGTTTTGCTTTACCACTTGTTTTTCCTTACCTTCCATGCCGCTTACCCGGTTTACTGCAGCTAAAGGGCACCTTCAACTCACTTACATCCCTTTTTGTATGCAAAGCCAGTGTTGACTTCTGGGCTGGCTATTTGAAAACAAGATGTTCAATCCCTCCGAAGGTTGGTATGTCCAAGGCATTGGAACTCTTCATGAACCTTCACGTTGGGCACTTGCGGCGCAGCATTGTGACATACTGCGCAGCCAGCAGCGCTTGCGAGGGTCAGTGGCTTTTGTCTTGGCAAGTGCTCAATCAACTTCAAGACGGTCGGATAGCGGTGGCTCGGTCTCAAAAGCTGCTGAACGTCTTATGTCGCTTATGTCACCAAGAAAGGAAACGATTTGGGTACAGGAAGAAGCATGCAAGTCCAAGTGTTGTAGAACTAGCATCAAGCACAGTGAAGCACATGAGCAGATTCGTTGATCTTGTTGGAAATAGATTATATAATTATAGATATATATATATATTAATATGATATAATCTGATGCATATACAAAGCATTGCACAGCCTTACAAATCGTCGTTTATACAGTTTTTTGTTCAGTTTACAGCTCCTCGACTTTCCTGGTTTGGGGCCATGGTAGGTGAACAGCATTCCCTACAACGCCGCTGCCAGTGCCTGCGAGAAAGCCGCTGAATGGGAAAGTGCCTTAGAGGTCCCGCGTCGCCAGTGATTTCGACTTGCAACGGAACATCACCCATTGATAATGATCACATCATATCCCAATATATCATAATATCATCATAGTATATCATAATATATCCATATATATATATATGTATCCCATAAAGTTCCTATTAAAAGTTGGACTCGATAAAAAGTGCCATGTTCAATGGATCCAGAAAAATCCAGAGGGACCGGCAAAACCTCAGCCCTGAGGTCATGATGGAAGTACGGAAGATTAGGCTTCACACCATCATGACCTACGGCGCGGGCATCAGCGCCTGTGAAAAATCACTCGAGTGGCGGAGGGCTCTGCAGCTATTGGCTGAAGTGCCACAGAACTCCTTGGAGATGAATCTTGGCCTCCGGGAATTCATCGATGGGCTGAGAAATCCCCGAAAGCTTTCGGTGTACAGCTGGGAACGACTAAAAGTGTGATTTTCCAGCCATGTGACTGATTACCAGAGGGTAAATGGATTAGTGTATAACTTTGCAACCTGCGGGGAGGTAGGGCTCTGCAACAGCGGTTTCTAAACATTGCCTGTCAGAAACCACAAACGGTTTTTTGGATTCTTTGGCTCCAAGATTGTCTTGTTGGTGCCACCAGTGAGCCAGTTTTATTGTGGTTTATCTACGTATATATATATGTTATATTATAAATGATTATAATATATATATATATATACATATATATATATATTATGTATATACACCTATCTATTTGCGTTTTGTTTCTTCAGCATCTTTTTTTGATCCTCGATTTGCTGAATTCCAGGAATGTCGTTGTGCACAATGCAGCAATCAGTGCCTGCGAGAAGGGAGCGGAATGGCAGCGGGCCTTCAATCTCTTGGTCTCCTCAGGACTGGTGTTTTTTTTTCGGAATATTTGGGGCAAACCTGCATTGAAATCTAAGATAGTATATGATATAGTACATTGATAAAACATGATAAAACCTGCATTGTAGATAATATGACAGAAACATACCTAAAATAACTGTACCTTGTATCTAAGTGTCCGGGATATCATGTTGTTGCTGTTAAGTGGATTTCAAAAGCAACATCCAAGCACAAGGCAATTCCTGACTCTGATAGTGCCTTCAGTTTCTAGCCATCTCATTCAACATCTTGCTGAGCGTTGAAAATGAATGTTTTCACAATCCCTTCCACGTACCTATATACTCTATATATATATACTATAAATTCTGTATATATATATACTAACCTATATATATATATTGTGTCATCACATTTTGCGAGAAGCTCGTGCTGTCCGCAGGAGAGAACCGCTTGCAAAGTGACCTGATGTGACGTGTCGGCACGGAGTATGCGACAAGGACCTTAGGAGTTCTTCGTAAACTCTGACAGGTTTTGAGGACCTGTGGATGGAAGAAACCTTGCACCACCTGGGATGGTAGAAAGCCTATAAATAATGGGATGTTTACCACCTACCAACTGGTGATTTCTTCCATCCACAGTATCAAATGTATCAAATGTCAAAGATCTCAAGATCTCTTTGCATTGCTGCTGTTGACCTTCTTTAAATGACGTCTTGATAAGAACAAGATTTGAGAGACTGTTGCAAAAAGATGGGGACGTTTTGTAACCTTTCATTCATGTAGACATCACCAAAGGAGACGAAAGGTGCTGTTTCTGTATTTGATCTCTACCGAGCACCTGGAAAGTTGTTTGCATGTTGAAACAATGGGTTCTTCCGTGAACATTGAAATCCACCAAAATGAATCTTTCAACAATTAAATATTAGATTCAGACGAGTATACATATTATATATATATATACACATTATATATATATACACATTATATATATATACACATGCATATGTACATAGTAAGACTGCATGCCAACAGTCTTTTGGTCTGTCGAGAGTTCGCCTGGATTTGAAGAAAACACACCGTACATAGGGTCTTTCATCAAGGTTGACATTGTAGCTATGCCAAAATCATTTACAAAGAATACTTAGGATCTTAGCAAATAATAGATCTTTGTATGTGAACTTAGTATCAATTACCCTCTGGTTATTTAACATAGCCATGGAAAATGACCCATTTATAGATGATTTTCCCAGCTAGAAACCTCCATTTTATAAGGGATTGTCTATGGCTATGTTCAGTGTCACTGTGTGGGCGACCATTGGACAATTGGACCCACCAGAACTTCTGGTACTGAGGTCCCTGAATGCGCTGATCAGTACCTTGGACGTGACCATCAACCTGAGCCAACAAGCTCTCGGATTCAATCGTTGCAAGGCATGCTGTCTCGTTGAAACCTCAATATTCAAGGCACATCTCAACAAAACCGCCAAAGATTCTTAGCAGCGGTGTTTCAAATAGCAACGAAAGTTCTACCCTGAAATCATTCATCATCATGAGTATCAAATCATCGGCTGGCTTGCTTTGCCACAAATCATAATTGCTGAAGGTCTTGAGTCGCCAAAACACCTGCCAAATTGGAGCGTGTCTTCATGAACCAAGCACATGCATTCTTCTTCAAATTGCCATTTTTGCAATGACCATCTGCGCATCCGCTGAGGTGCCTGTGAAAAAGCCAAGCAATGGCAGTACGCCCTGCATGTCTTGGAGATGATCCCAGATGCTAAGCTTCAGCGGAACATCATCTCCTACAGCGGAGCCATCAGTGCCTGCCAGAGACGTGGCCGTGAAAGATGGGGTGAGAACGGTCTACTGGGTAGACATTGGGTGTACACTGATTGGTGTGCATGTTTACATATATAATTAATTAGATTGTTTTATATATATATATATATACATCACATATTAAATAATATGGCTTAGTTTTTAACCATGGAAAGATGGCAAAAGGTCTTAAGTGAAATGTCTTCGTCATTCTAGTACTCAGAGTGATTCAACAGAACACATTTGGTGGGCATGTGATTCTGTTATTGAAACGTGTCGCAACCATGCAATGGCGTTTCTGCTTTGTGTAGGTGTTTTTAGCCGCACAACGACGCAACTTCCAATCCGAGTTGGACGTGTGATCATAAATGATGATGACCATGTTAATGCCCCAAATTCCCACTCAGTGGCCACTAGTGGAAGCAATTTGGTTGAATAGCTGAACACAACTGCTCGTTTCGCTGTCCATCAGGGAATATGAACCCAGCTAAAAAATGTGAAACATCAGCTAAAAAATGCTAAACATATCAAAAAACCATTTGAAGTTCACAGGGTAGGCAAAAACTATATTAAAAACCAGGGCTTAGTGGGATAGATCCGATCTTTGGGGGAATTCCCCATGTGTTTTTTTGGCTTCCCAGTGATTGCCCTAGGAAGGCCACGCAATGGGAGCGCGCTCTGGTGTTGGTGGCCCAGCTGCCGTCGTGCAAATTGCGGGGCAATGCCATCGCATACAACGCAGTGCCATGGTGGTTTTCATCCCGTGGATCGTGGATGTGGTGGGTTTATAAACCAGTTATAACTGGGAGATTTGCATGGATAACCTATAGATGACACCAACCTTCAGTTTTATAAAGCTGAAACTGAAGTTGAAGTTATAGGGTTATTTTAGGCATTTTGCTGAATAAAATGATGTTGGTGATGTTGGTGTTTGAGCCGCCATTCGAACCACTATGGAGGGTTTGGAAACACTCTTGGAATTCCAAGTCACGTCTGAAGCAGGCCACTACAACCCCACTCTTCTCTATGATCTGGGAAGCTGTGTTTCAAGGTTTATCCGCTAGTTTGTCTCTCCTTGCCCTTTCACAGTGACCCGTTTTCTCAACCGATTCTTCAAGTCAACAGGCTGACATTTGATGATCACCTGTCAACGCTTGGAACTTTAGAGATCCGAGTGAAATTTCGAACATCTACTAATCAATGGTTTTCCAGAGTGTCAAAACATTTGTTGGTCAGGAAGCCTTTGATCCCCTGACAATAATGTTTTGGTCATTGCTGGCCCAAATCATTCGGACAATCTGGGCTTGAGGGAGAATTGGCCATGATGAGATACCCAAAATCTCCCAAAATTTCTTGTCATGTTTTAGTGTAGGTGCCGCCATGTGCCGCCTACTTCATACTGAAGCCTTTTCAAACAAAAGCACAAAGTTCAAAGTTTGTTTTTCTCATCATTTTTGATGTCGGATTTACATGTATTTACCATTTTGTTTGGCCGCAAAGATTTGTTCTGCGCTTGAAGAGTTTGCAGTAAAGTATAGATTATCTTTTCAGCCAAACTTTGGCGTCTATACGAACCTCTGACAGCATGGAATTTATTTTCTTATTTCCAGATTGTACTGAAAACTTGGACATTGTTTATATTTATTTGGAAAACGGGCGGCCCTCTGATGGGTGCTTGTTTGTGTTTAAATCCACGGTTCAATATTGAGCTTATACCCCTGGAAAGCACACCGCGCCAACAGTATTGCCACAAGGCAGAAGTCGATCTATCTTCATCTTGTAGCGCAGCGGATTCCCATGATGGAAACCCCCGTTGGATGTCATTAGGTTCTTGCCGCCATCGTTTAATCCAAAGTTTTTCTGGTTCCCTAAGATGAACTGGTCAAATCAACTTTTCAACTCGGATTCAAGCTGGTCAAAATTCCATTTGAATCCATTTAAGAGCTCTCTTTAAATCCCTATGAATCCCTATGAATTCCCTATGAATTCCCTATGATTTTTGGCTGGTTCCCATGGGACTGCCCTGCAGCTTCCAAGGCCCTGACGTCCTGCGAGATGGGTTCTCAGGCGGTGCAGGCCTTGCTGCTGCTGAAGCACTTGGACGCCATGCAGGCGCCAGGCAGGGGAGGAATGGCGTCGGTTGGTGAATGGTTGGACTAGGATGGCCGTTTTTTTTTTTTTTCAATTTTTTTGGAGAGCTGAAAGACTGAATGTCAGTGGGTGAGGTTTCTTTTAATGCGATGGGGTGAAGGGTAGGGTTTTCTTGTCAATTTCTATGGACTAACTTGACATAACTTGGCCATGAAGAAATTGGAGGTTGAGGAGGTGGTAAGGATTGGTTGGAGTCGGAATGAACCCAATATGGGGCGGAGTCGGTGACTGGACTTTGGCGTCGTTGAGTCAAGGTTTGTCACGTCTCCATCTCCTTGGCGACCCTATCAGGTGATAAGAAAATCATTGAAATGAGGATACTGGGTGGACTTGGTGCCCCTCTCAGGATTCCTTCCAAGGGATTAATGGATATTAATGGACCCTGATAGTCCCTAGAAATCAATGAATAGCACCTCCACATGCCCTAGTGATCACGGGTCGAACGATTTAAATGTCAAGCCACAATCCAGAGCTTTCAGAGGAAGTTTTTTTTTCATCCCTTGCCATGAAGTCCCTTAACCCGTGAAGTGGTGTCACTTTCCCAACACAATCACTTCGCAGTGCCTTGATATTGTCAGTTTCTCATATGTGGCAAAAACATATGAAATATGCAAGATAAATCGGCTGATCAACATCAACTAGTTTTTGTGACCATTTGGGTTTGGACCTTCTATAGATTTGTTTGTAAACCCATATACAACTATTAATAGTTTTTTGAATTTGAATCCACAAGATATATCTATGACTAATCCATCTACTCACAGGTGGAACCTGATGAAGTGACCTTCGAATCGACCATGCGCGCCTGCGCCTGTGCCGAGCAGTGGGAGACCACACTGGAGCGGGGTTGGCTTCTTTAGGGCCGGGGCTGCTCACCTGCGGTGGTGACGAGGATGGTGATGGTGATGGTGATGGTGATGATGATGATGATGATGATGATGATGATGATGATGATGATGATGATGATACCCAAAGCCTCTGGTTGGAGGTTTTTTGTGCCATTTGTTTTGTGTCATTGCGGGTTGGTATTGTTTTTTTTCGGTGCTGGTGTGAAAGTTTGAGAAGCGATCCGCCATGACTGGTTGGTGGTTTGGAACATGGCTTTTATTTTCCAGAATATATTGGGAATAATCATCCCAACTGATGAACTCATATTTTTCAGAGGGGTAGGTATACCACCAACCATCAGTTTGAGGTGCTACCATGGCCTACCCCAAACCCGCCCCGCTGCAACGGCACAGGAGCTTTTGCTGCAAATGCCAGGGATCCGGTTTCCCATGTCCCAGGTGCGCTGAGTCATGGTGGTTCATTGGCTACCCAAAGATGGGCAAAGTTTGGTGACTGGTTGGTGAATGGCTGGATTTTGAACCGCAGTACACTGATTTTTTGTCATTGTAGAGTGGTCGAAGATTGGATGTGCAAAATGGACACTTCAAGTTGAAAGTTTATTCGAATGAATTGGTGCATTCCTGCATCACAACTTGTTGCGTAGTCCACTCAAGAGTATCATCCAGTGAAGATCATTGTTAAATCATCATACAAGTGATATTCCCATAGTTTAATTTCAATGGATGGTTTCATTAGATTACAAGTAAATTCATACGCGTCATATATATATATATATATATACACAGATATACACACATTTGCTGGTTGGTGGTTTGGAACATGTTTTATTTTTCCATATATTGGGAATAATCATCCAACTGACTTTCATATTTTTCAGAGTAGGAAAACCATATATATATATATATACACACACACACTTATATGCCTATATCATGCTATCTATAATTTTGATTGGGATGGTCCAATTCTAATCGAAAGGTGCGTTCGGTAAGAATATTGGCTGCTCATGGACGTGTCCAGCAAGATGATCCTGTTTCCATGAAGAAATCTTAATGGATCCGTTAAACAGAATCTAAACAGAAACACGTATTTAACGAGACTTTAACATTTTTGTTGGTTGAATATTTATTTCAAAATGGCTAAGAAAATCCCAAGATATCCTCAATGACTCAGATTTTGGATGGTTCATGTGGTTTCACCAGCCTCAGCATGGCAGGTGACCTACAATGCAGCCATCAATGCCTGTGAGAACAGCGCTGAATGGTTGCAGGTGCGGTTGCTGATGATAGCTGATGATACCCTCTGGTAAACTAACATTGATATTTATGGAAAATCACCATGTTTTACGGGTAAATCAACTATTTCTATGGCAATTGTTAAAGCTATGTTGGTTTACCAGAGGGTAGCTGATGATGTCAATTTGCTGCAGACTTTTTTTTAGGTTTTCCAGGGAGACAGACAGCCATGCATTTTGAAAAGAGGCCATCCTGGCCTTGGGCCTCCAAGACCTGCAGGTGCAGATGCTTCTAGCAGATCTACACCATTATCTGCTGCAAGCGGATGTGACGCTTGGCGTTCTGTTGTGTTTCACTTCGTGATCTTCGAACATCATTTGTTCGTTCTTTGTTTGTTCTAAAGACATCTAATAAGGAATTCTAAGAACTCGTTCTCGTTCTCGCTGATTTTGCCATCAATTTTAGGAATAGCATCACGAGAACTCGTTTCCTATCTCTGAAACTCCGTTCACCACCTTGTGCGATCCTACTTCCGTTTTGCTGGTTAGATTCCACCATGCATTACTTGAATCATTAAAATCTAATTTCACGTTGCTAGAATCTCTATATATCAATCATACACGCTTGCTTCTTGCGAAACCATGCAGATTTTAGGTGAACTCCACATCTTTTCGCCCCAGGTACACCTGCAGCAGTGCCGTCAGCTGCTACGGCAAGGCACGACGGTGGCGAAGGTCACTGGAGCTGCTCGAGACATCGGGAGATGTGGTGACCTACAGTGCCATTGGCAAAACTGGTCAATCGACTGGATGGGTACAAACTAATCCTTGAGTTTTTGGATGTTTTAAACGGTACCAGTCGGATTTCCCCGCCAATACGGCCCGGGGTTGCTGTGTTCTGCATTGACAAGCAGTCCGACTCGCGGTACCAGTGGGATTATCTACTAACCAGCTAAGAATTTATTATTTTGCAGGGTATCTACGATTGGCCATGTACATGGAAGCAATGTTTGGTGATTGTAGTGGTAATAATGTGGATGGAAGAAATCCTACACCAGTTTGTATCTATTGGCAACTATGAAACACTGAAAGACATGGAATTATATACTGTACATAGCAGGAAAAGCCATGTACCAACTGGTGCAGGATTTTGTTCCATCCACAGTCTCAGTGTCATGGGAATATCATAGGGTTGGGATATGTGCATATATACATATATATATATATATATTTATATACATATACATATATATATATATACATACATATATATATATATATATATGTATGTATATATACATATATATGTATGTATATATACATATATACATATATATATATATACATATATGTATACATATATATGTATAGTTATATACATATATATATATATACATATATACATATATATATATATACATATATATATATATATACATACATATATATATATACTGGTTGGTGGTTTGGAACATTTGTTATTTTTCCATATATTGGGAATAATCATCCCAACTGACTTTCATATTTTTCAGAGGGGTTAAAACCGCCAACCCGATATATATATATATATATATTTATATGTATATATATATATATATGACCAATATATATATATATATATATGAACCCATTGATCCATGAATCCCAATTCTTCAGCATGGTGTACCCCCCAGTGTCATCAACGGCTGGAAAATCCCCCCCTTTTCATGGAGGTATCCAGGAGTAGCAGCTGGGCTGGGGCTTGTTTTGACCCTAGTTTTGGATGAGATGGGATGGGATATTTTTTTTATGCCTGATTTGGGATGCCAATGATGGTTATGCTTGGTAAGAATAAGCACCAAATTCGAGATTTGTGATAGATGTCCAGCTTATATCTCCAATAGTGTAATAATGTGGTAATATGTGGTAAACCCAATCATAAAACTTCAATTTTGGAAGGCTTGTAGAACCTATTTCAAGTGTAATGTTTTTTTTGGGGGTTTTCCACATTATATAATTTGGCAATCATCAGGATATTGCCTGTATCATCAGGAGTCTGCCAAGATGACGGATGGGACGGGAGAGTGGTAGATTTGGATAACTAGTTTGATCCTTTTGGTTTGATTTTCTTAGTGTGTTCTCAAAAAGAACATTGGCTTAATACAGTGCACTTTATATATTGTATGAATAGATGCCTTTGTGGTCACCCCCACCAGAGCCTACCTTCCTTTTGTAATTGGTTTATACAGTAAAGCATTATAAACTATAGTGCTGTGCTTTCTATATCATACATTATAAAACTATATATACCAGCCACAGCTGGACGATTTTGAGGTTCCATGATGAACGCCTGCCAGCGTAGTCTCCAGTGGTTTGTGGCAGTGCATTTGTTGGAGAAGATGCGACAGCAGAGACTCCAAGGTGCCACTGGTCAGGATATGTATGGGGATGGATCAAAACCTGTACCCTTTGGTAAACTAACATAGCTATTGAAAATGGCCCATAGAAATTGTTGATTTACCCATTAAACATGGGAAAAAAAAAACATAGTTAGAAATATGTAAACGTTTACCAGAGGGTAATTACCATATGACTGGGAAAGAACATCCATCACTACCAGCGATTTTGTAAAAACCATGGTAGTAGGGTTTGAACCATATATATATATAATTATATATAATATATAGCAATATAGATATTTTAAGAATTAAATATTTAGTATTTGTTTTTTTTTATGTGTATTGTCCTCAACGTGTCATTTGGTGGTGGTGGTTTGACGTGTCGCCAGCAGTTTGAGGGGCACAGGTGCCATCTCAACAAGAGGATGTTTTCGTGACCGTTTGAAAACATAAATTGTTACACATTGTTGCTAATCAAGAAGATGCTTCTACCGCCATGCTTGCTGGTTTCGCCCTTGTAATCATTTTCCGAGAGGATTTATCCCAAGTGCCATTCCTGGGATGTGGGTTTTGTTCAGAAATTGGGCACAGTGGCCGATTTAGGGGCGGAAATGATGAAAAACATAGTATAAACAAAGCATCATAACAATCATAAAGCACTGGATGCAGGGTACCATATACTTGGACAAACTCATGTGGCCGGGGGCGGATTACAGCGCCCGATAAAGGAGATATCCAGACTTACGACAAAGTCATCAGCAGCTGCGAGCATCATCAGCAGCTCCTTGGCTCACCAAGTGAGAGGCTGGAGGGGAAGACGACCAGTGAATGGTAGGAAAACCCTTTGGTAATCAAACATGGCAATAGGAAATCCCCTACAAATTGGGGTTTCCCGGGAAAATAGTCTATAAATGGGACATGTTCTATTGCCATGTTTGATTACCGGAGGGTAGTGGCAATCTAACATAATCTAACCAACACAGCTCGAATAATCTCGGATAATTGATTGGTGGCATCGGTGGATGGTGGACGGTGGATATGTTCATTGGAAATGATTCCACCAGTTTTCATGGAATATGATGGAATATGTCAATGCCATCAATGTACTGCTATGATCTCGGGCTAGCATCTGAGTTGTTTTTTTTGCAGTATCTAAGGGCTGCTATGCTGCTTCAAAAGGAGGGGGTGGTCACTTCAGTCCATGGCACCATGGTGCTGTTTTTCGGGATCCAAGTTTGGAAAGGATGAACCACAGTTATGGCCCGAAATACCAGTTATGTTTGTACTGAACTAACCCCATTTATAGAGTGTACAAACCCCATAGAAATCACCAGTTATAACTCATTTTTATGGCCATAACTGCAGTTGGACAGATTGATCCGATCATTTTTGCCGGGTGGATAAATCTGTGGATTTTAAGTGGCTGACTTTTGAGATCCGAACGCAGATCTCTGCAAGCTTCATGGCGTTCTGAAAATTGCTGCATTGGATTGATCAGTGATGGCTGACACATATATAATCATCATATATGTATGTATATATATATATTATATATATGGGTATATGTGCAGTCGAATTGAAACCATTAACTGGTATTAACTGGTGAACCTTGGCATCGACATCTGTAGTTTTCAATTGTGGATGGTTCACACAGGAGTAGTCAACTTGTGAGCTTCCATGTAAATATAACGGTGAACAAACATCTGAATCGCAGGCTTTCAATCTAACACCTAAGCCAATGGAGTATGCTCTGGGCAAGCTGGTGCAAATGTCCCTTCCGTACATGAATTAAATCGAATTACTGCAGGTAAAACACTAATAAACCATCCCCCAAATCACCATACATAGGTAGTATGTTTACCATTCCCAAATTAGGTTGGTTTATTATTGTTTTATTGTTTTACCCACATTACCAATTAAACACTGGTGTTTGGTGTCCAAGGTGGGCATTCTTCATCCCATTGATGGAAGCGATGCATGAGATCTCATGGCTTGGACTGAAAAATGATGTGGGCAGCGCGGCTGTTCAAAACCGCCGAATTTGAAGTGGTTTACCTGCAAGAGTTTTTGTTTGAGTCCCCTCGCAGCAAGCCACTTTCAAGAGAAACATATATATATATTATAATATATATAATTCACTTATATATATATACATATAATACATATATATATATAATACATATATATATAATACATATATATATATAATTCACTTATATATATATGCGAATTATATATATATGAATTTCATATATATATAATTCACAAAATGTATATACATAGATATATATATATATACAGATATATACATATATATACATATGTATAATTATATATAATTATTTACATATTTGCATAATTCATATATATATATATACATGATTCACATATATATATAATTGTATATATATATATACATATTATTACACAAACATCTGCAATCTTATTATATGTTGTACATTATATGGAGTCATATCCCACGTATGGGTAGGGTAGCCGTTACGCGCTTCGAACTCCCGGTGTCTTGGGCCACGTCCATCCACATCTCTTTCTTGATGTGGACATGGGTCATGAGATGTCATGAGTCACAACCTAAAGCCACCCTGCATGTTCCAGACATTTCATTGGAAGTAATGATTTGATTGTGAATATGATTCAACATTTGATAACAATAATATTATTATAGTAGACAGTAGACATATATACATATATATATATTATGATATAATTCATATATGTACACAACCTTATGAAGATCCTCACACGGGTCAGTTCGGTCACCTTGCCAGGCGCGGTCTGCCAAAGGTGAGACGTACGCGCTGCTGTCTGAGATGGCCTGTCAACGCAACACGGCCTGAGAAAACGAAATCACCAGCGGAAGCAGTGGGGTCTTGGATCCCAGCACAAGAATCCCATCCCCCATTAAAAAAAAGTCCCATTCGAATGATGGTGAACCATTAGATCCCAAACCATATTATGATATAATATAATATTAGTATGATATAACGAAAAGAAACAGAAACTATGGTGGAATGTAGGGGATTTACACATCTAGAACCATCATATTCCCCACAGAAATATTAAAGAGCCCCGAATGTAGGGAATGAAAGCATATGTTTGGAAGCATTTGGGGGGGGTGTTGAATATGAATGGGGGATGGGATTAGTGTGAATATGTTTGAATGTGTTGGGATTGTTGGGCTTATTCACTGCTGGATATCAGAAAAATCATAGCACAAATACAATTGAATGAACATTCCACAACAAGTGGAGAGCAGTGATGATTGCACGTTTGCACTCATGATCTCCAGTTGCCAAGAGGCAAGGTGACCACGTGCAGATATAGACCCCCAAGAAGTGCCAGGAACCTGGTACAAGATGGTGTGGAAGGCGCTCCAGGTTTTGCATCTTGCACAGGCATGTTACAAGCTTTTCCGCAGCTGCAGTGCTCTCCAAAGTTTGAGAGACTTCAACATCGCACATAGGAGTACGGAAGTATGGTACTGTATCCGTCATAACACTAGTGTCGGCACGCGCATGATTCCTGAACTGAGTAGTATCCAATGCAGGAGTTGAGAGCCTGGAATTCCAGGTGTGTCATTGGTTTACATTGGTCAAATGGGGCATGATATTCACAGACAAATCCGTAGCCACAAATTGGTCAAGAATCCCCACACTGAACTTCCTGACTAGGGTGCATTTGAAAGATTGACAATCACTGGTTGGTGGTTTCAAACATGTTTTTTTTTTCCATTTCATATATGGGATGTCATCCTAAACCCATTGACGAACTCATATTTTCCCAGATGTTTTTTTTAACCACCAAGCAGATGGTGATAAGATGTTATACCATCTGGTTATCGAACATAGCCATGGAACATCGCCATTTTCAATAGGTAAACATAGCCATGGCAAATCATCAACCACAGATTTTCCAAGACTTGGTGTTCACCGCTGATGTTAAGTGACCATCTAATCTCGGCAAAAACCTCCGTGTGAACCGGGGCGTGTTCCCCATGAATTTGGCCCGGCTGTTGGCCGGTGCCACGCAGCTGGTGGAGGCTGAAGGCGGTCAGGACGGGATGGGCTTTCTGCAAGTGCCGGAGGATCCAAAGAGATGGGATTCAAGATGGATAAATTGACCATAAATCTAAATTTACCTATGGTTTACCATCAATTTAGATAATTACCATCAATTTATATATATATATTATATATTCTTGTTCTGAATCTAAATAGTGGTTTTTGTTCACTGTTCTGGCATTGAGAGACGAGGTCAAGACTACTCTGGTGTGCAGAAAGAGGTGCTACTCTGTGTTTTTTCTTTCAGTGTGGCTACTAACATTTTCACGAAATTGACACACAGGTTTCCAGCATTTTTTCACTGTTCAAGCTGTTTGCGTGACTTGTGTGTATGTTGTATGATATGTTGACTGTGCGATCTCTTCCCAGAGGTAGAAAGTCTCAATCTTCTCTCATCGATTCCAGGATGCAGGGCAGGCGACATCTGTGCATTCGTCATCACCGCTTGAGCCTGTGTGTCCCTTGGTTTTATCACGAATTATCGCGATATGTTTGTTGAACATCGGATGGATCTAGGATGTGTACTCTTCAAATGGAGGGTATACCTTACCACGCATTTAAGCGTGGAAAGCCTATAGAGACTTCATGCTGAAACCCGTCCAAAAGACAGATACAGATGATACATATCTGGTTGGGGGTGTTGAAGATTTGTTCTTTTTCCATATATTGGGAATGTCATCATCCCAACTGACTTTCACTCCATCATTTTTCAGAGGGGTAGGGCTCAACCACCAACCAAGCCACGGCTGCTGCTTTCATGGTCGGATCGACATGGTTCAAACAGCACCGGCCCTGGGCCCCCAGGGTTATCGTTTGTAGATCATCTGACTGAAAGGATCAAAGATGATCAAAGTAGGCATCTGACTATGGAAAGATCATGAAAGATCCACCATTTTCAATAGGTAAATCCACTACAGATTGCCATTTTCAATAGCTATGTTAAATTACCAGAGGGTATATACGGTAACGACATTTGAATATGTGGAGGGCGGGCCAGACAGCGAGGCCCCGGAGGTAGTACAGTTCGTATATTTAAATGTAGTTACGGTATGTTTAAATGAATTAGATTCCGCATGTTTAAATTGCTGGGCGGGCCAAGGAAAACCTTCCCGGAGGTAGTCCACAATACCTGTTCGTATATTTAAAAGTCCGTATATTTAAAGTTACCGTATTGATATATTATGATCATCATTTGATCATCATTTGGCTTGGACATTTCTATCAAAACACCATTGATCAAAAAAGCCGCTAATCTCGGCTGTTGCCACCCAGGTACTGAGCCCTATTGCGGTGGTTTTTGGTGGGCGCAGCTTGCCCCCAAAGTTCCACACATTGACGGTGAACTTGGCTCCAAGGTGCGCCAGCTGCCCAGAGAATCCTGAATTTTTGTTGCCGTGCCGGCAATATCATGCGTGACAGGACATAAATATATTAAATAATATACATAATTAACAATAAAATAATAGATGTGCTTAAACTATATCACCACCTTGCCTGCATAATCAGTCAGATATAAAGCTAGCACAGCCACGGCGTTGATGCCAAATCGTACCAGGCCGCAGAGGAATCGCAGGAAGCAACAAAGGTGGACTTCCCTGAGGCCAAGTCCGGCTGTCAGTGGTACAATGTGGGGCCCACCAATGATGAGAACGTTGGTTTATTAAAGGCCCATGAATACTATAGCTGGTTGGTGGTTTCAAACATGTCTTATTTTCCATTTCATATATGGGATGTCACCCTTCCCATTGACGAACTCATATTTTTCAAGATGGTTAAAACATGTTAAAACCACCAAGCAGACAGTTATAAGATGTTATAAGTATCATAAACTGCTTTCCCACTGTCCTGGCTGAGGTGTCTTTCTACCCTGCTTTTGACCCACCGATCTCATCTGCCGTCAAGTTGTTGCCAGCGAATCGGGGCGCCTTCGATCGCTGGAACATCCCAAACGTAGCTTGCTACGACGCGTCTGGTGGTCTGGTGCTGTCGAAGATGTGGATTTTCCAAGTCAATTTGGGGTGATTTCCAGCTGACTGATGACTAGATATGACTAGCAGATTCTCAAAAAATCATTGGCCGGAGTTGGGGATGTGCGTGTTCGCGGTCGTCCAGTTGTTTGTTTTCTTTTGACTAGATTGTTCATGATTGTTCCAAAGTTTGGGGCACAATGGCTTTCAACATTTCCAGGTATGCATGAAGGTAGTACAAAGTCAAGCCCGGATTTTTTGAACAGCGCCGTTTCAAAATCGCGCCTTTTTTCTGTTCAATCGAGTAATGGTATCATTAGGAGATGACATCACTGGGGATTTATTCACAGCCACTCGATCTGGACCTTACCTTGGTGGGCCCAGCACTTGTTGACAGTTTGTCAGGCCGCACCAGGGGGATTGTTACCCTTTGGTAAACATACAAAAAACTATGGAACATCGCAATTTTCAATGGGTAAATCGGTAAATCCACTATTTCTATGGCCATGTTCAATAGCTATGTGACAAATTACCAGAGGGTAAAGATCCCATCATCAGTTTCCACAGCAGTGATCATCCGGCCCCGATGCGATCAATCTGGTGGTGCATGGTCAACATACCCTCTGGTAAAGTAACAGAGCTATGGAAAATTGGTGATTTCCAGTCGATGTACCTATTAAAAATCGTTATTTTCCATAGCTATGCTAGTTTCCTGGAGGGTAGATATTCATAGTGTGGATTTTGCCTTGGTCTTTCCATCCACCTGCACCCTATTGAACATGTTTTTGGGAGCACAGTTGTTCTCCTATACCTAGTGTAGACCCAAGTCCACAAATCATCCCCAATAAGTTAGCCAAACATGGGTTGTGTAATCTGAAGAGTCTATCCCCAATAACTTGTCAGAAGGGGGTGGAATTTTAACCATGTCCCGAATTTGAGTTTGATTAATATATTATACAAATTGCTCTACGTACTAGTATTATGATTGATCATACCAGTAGTACCGCACAAGGCGGTGGCGGAAGTTTCAAAAATAGGAAACCTATAGGAGAAGTTGGTTGTTGTGAATCAGGGATGGCAGAGCGAAGCCACTGATTGACCGAAAGGTGGTTGGAGTTGTGTTTGCTGGAGTGGTTGCAATGGTTACAATGGTCACCTCACCCACAACTGCTGGATGTAGTGTGATGCAATGTAACTGTAGTTGTAGTTGTAGCGTAGTGGAGTTGTAGTTGCGGTGTAATGTAATTAGCGTAGTGTAGTTGCAGTCATATAGTTGTAGCTGTAGTTGTTTTGTAGTTGTAGTTCTAGTTCTAGTTGTTGTTGTTGTTGTAGTTGTAGTTGTAGTTGTTGTTGTTGTTGTTGTTGTTGTTGTAGCTGTAGTTGTAGCTGTAGTTGTTGTGTGGTTGTAGTTGTTGTAGTTGTTGTGTAGTGTAGTAGTAGTAGTAGTAGTTGTTGTTGTTGTTGTTGTTGTAGGTGTAGTTGTTGTTGTTGTTGTTGCTGTTGCTGTTGCTGTTGTTGTTGTTGTTGCTGTTGTTGTTGTAGTTGTTGTTGTAGTTGTTGTAGTTGTAGTTGTAGTTGTAGTAGTTGTTGTTGTTGTTGTAGCTGTAGTTGTAGCTGTAGTTGTAGCTGTAGTTGTTGTGTGGTTGTAGTTGTTGTGTGGTTGTAGTTGTTGTGTAGTGTAGTTGTAGTAGTAGTAGTAGTTGTTGTAGTTGTTGTTGTTGTTGTTGTAGTTGTTGTAGGTGGTGTTGTTGTTGTTGTTGCTGTTGCTGTTGTTGTTGTTGTAGTTGTTGTAGTTGTAGTTGTAGTTCTAGTTGTAGTTGTTGTGTAGTTGTTGTAGTTGTTGTAGTTGTACTTAATGTGGTGGTTGTTGTTGTTGTTGTTGGTTGTTGTTGTTGTTGTTGTTGTTGTTGTTGTTGCTGTTGCTGTTGCTGTTGCTGTTGTCGTCGAGGTTAGGGTAGTTAAGTTAGTGAAGTTAGTTGAGTTAGTCAAGTTAGTTAAGTTAATCAGTGTCTACTTTTTTGACATCTTCACGTCAAAAAAAGGCTCAAAACCCTCAGTTTTTTACACTTTTGACTTCGAAATGTGCTTCGCGCCACAACGGCGTGCACTTTTTCGACACTTTTTCGACATCTGAACCTCCAAAAGTGGTCCGAGACCGCCAGTTTTTAACACTTTTGACTTGGAAATGTGCTTCGCGCCACAACGGCGTGCACTTTTTCGACATCTCAACTTCCAAAAGTGGTCCGAACCCTGGTGTTTTGTACATTTTGACTTGGAAATGTGCTTCGCGCCACAACGGCGTGCACTTTTTCGACATCTGAACTTCCAAAAGTGGTCCGGAACATGGTGTGTTTTGTACATTTTGACTTGGAAATGTGCTTCGCGCCACAACGGCGTGCACTTTTTCGACATCTCAACTTCCAAAAGTGGTCCGCTCCTCTAGTGTTTTGTCCATTTTGACTTGGAAATGTGCTTCGCGCCACAACGGCGTGCACTTTTTCATGTCTCATCTGGCCAGCTGGCTCCGCACCCGCCGCTTTAGCGAGCCTACTTTTCGACCCTCCGGGGCCACAAATCATTGGAAAAACACAGTGAATCGCGACTTTCCTATCTTTTCGCGCATCTACCTCTTCTTTCTTCTGATCTTTTCTCTTCTGACTCTTCTCACCTCTGCTTTTCAACTGTCCATATTGTCGGAAGTTTCACTTCTAAACTTCCTTCGATAATTATCTAATATTATCATTGTTCTTATCGTCATTGTTGTTCCTCTTATTATCATTACTATTATTATTGGAATTCTAATGGCTAAATATTATTGACATCATTGTTATTTTAGTATCATCAGTAAATTGATGTGTTCCGTTGTTATTACCACTGTGGATTTCAGAAATCCTGCACCAGTTGATAACTGTTGCTACTATAACCTGAATTCGAAACACTTGGGACTACTTTTGGGGGGGTCCTCATTGTTTGGGAAAAAACAATAGCTGGATGGTTTATTTCATGGATCCGAAAATCTCCGAAGATAACATTGATACCCTCTGGCAAACATACAAAAAACTATGGAAAGATCCACCATGTTCAATGGGTAAATCCACTATTTCTATGGCCATGTTACCATGTTCAATAGCTATGTTAAATTATGTTAAATTGCCAGAGGGTAACTCATGACAATTTGATGTTTTTGTGGTCCCCCCGCATGACTTTAACGGACGCCTTTTCCGGACCAGACTACGGGACCCCTCGGGATGTCGTACCCGAGGCCGTGACCGTGAAGGTGGGCACCCTGGCAGAGATGAAGTTCCTGACGCATGAGGCGCAGCCAGGGAAGGGAAAAGGCTGGGACATGGAGGTTTTTGGGATTTTGGATGAAGGTTTATAGCATTTTAATTGTGAAGATATGAGAAGATTGTTGAACGGAATGGGGGATTTTCATGACATTTCCAGCAAGGTTTGATGACCGGTATAACATATGATAACCAGCTCTCATTGGATTGTTTTTCTTGGAAAATCTACAGGAATCCATGGGTTTTACTTCAAATATTGAGCTTGTAACGACTAATTATAAGGGGAAGCAACCAACGGACTTTTGCCGCCTTTTCGGTGTGGCATGGTATCGACAGAACTTGCCGGCAGCCAACATGGCCGTCCATTGATATCCCAGGTGCTCAACAACTTCATGCGGGTGCAGGTGACGTTACGTGACGTGTGACGTGTGGAGCAGATTCCGATCATCAGTTGCGGGGGATGTTGAGTTTGGATGGACCCTCCGCTGTTTAAAATATCCATAGCTATCAGCCTATCAGCTATGTTGTTTTTTTTTCCATCGGTAAAGCATCGAACTAAATCCATGACCGAGCTGCTTTCGCTGCTGGATCTGCAGGAGGACGCTGGTCTAGGTGAGCCAGAATATGTGGTGCGGCAGGGTTTGCAATTGTTGCTTGGCAACGCTGAGCACAGGGTGCGCTGTGGGGTGTGAAAAATGAGGTACCAATGAAATCCATGAATGAATTGCACAGACCATGTGGATGTTCGTTGTGGATATCTTATACATTGTTATACCATTCACAACCATTCATAAACATTCAATGTTTCGCGGTCAATAAATCTGAGCCACACCCTCAGCATCCTGGCCCATTGTCAAATTGTCATGACTTTGGGAGTTAGCCTAAAAAGTGGTACCTTCATATGGGGGTTTCTTAAACTGGGGGATCCCCAAGTCACCATGCTTGTTTCAATACTAGGTCATGATCATCCATGTCTTGGATGATAACTCGGGGTATCCCCATGACTTCGAAACCTCCATATCAATCCATATCAACATAGGAAACACCAACCATGATTTCATACTATCTTGATACCCCAATACCGCATTTGATATCCCCATTTTAGTGAAATCATCATGACATTCCCACACCAGGGGTCAAGATTCACCCTGACTGCCCAGGATCAGCTGGAAACCGCGGGGCGGAAGGCGTGGGGTGTTTGGTGTTTGCCCCAAGTGATGCTCCAAGTGGTCTCCTGGGGGCATAATGGAGATATATAATCGGTTATCATGGTTTTAGAATGAGGATACAATGGGGATAGAATGGTGAAATTGTATGAAATTGTGGGATAGAACGGATAGAACCACCAGTACGATATTTGTTGAGATGTTTAGTTTGTACATAGCCTTCAGCCACGAATACTGGTAGTTTTCAGGTTCATAGGACACCTCAATTCATACTGAAAGATGATAGTTCTGGTGCTGAGAAAGTAGTTGGAGGCTCCAAAATATGGTGGTATCTTAAGCATCTCAAGCCAATGGGGAAAACCAATGGTGAAGCTGTTTGCAGAGCCCATGATTCAACGTCTCCTGACGCGAGATGAAATCAGCCATGGCAATGTTTATCCAGGTGATGATTGACAAACCTGGCAATCATATCTCCTCATGAGCGGACAATCATGGACAATCATTTAGAGGTGCAGGACGTTTAATATGCAACTTTCCTTAGAGAATACTCATCAATTTCCCTTTCAGAGACTTGCAAATTTGAAATGTGCCTTAAGCCACAAGCTAAAAGCCACGAGGCTTCACGTGACACCCTTCCTGGGAAGCAAGAAGGAGTTGCTTGGCCAGAGTGGCTGCGTTCGACACCCACGTTTGTTCATAATGGTAGGGGTTTACTCACCCACCCTTTATAAAAATTGGGGAGTGGAATGGGAATCCCTTTTTAGCCAACCACTATTTCATGGAATGCCCGAGGGTTTCGAACACTGCTCAAGTGGATACATTGGTAAGATCTGCTCTGGTTTGTGCTCTCAGATGGTTTACTGGCGTACAATTGGGGTTTGGATGGGTCTTGCCTACACATGCCATGTTTCATGCAACCTGAAGACGTACGGAAAATAGTTGACGGTTTATTGAAGAAATATTGGGAATGTCATCCCAAATCCCAACTGACTCATATTTTTCCGAGGGGTAGGTAGGTATACCACCAACCAGTTATGATTGCCTGGGTGCTGTATGTTCATCCCTGTTTGGGATGATGCCGCAGCTCAGCAGCTCATGCTGTTTGTTCACTGAGGATGATGAACGCCATATTGCCTGCCACCTTTACCTTTGGCGGCAAACCGCGCCTTGAATCAAGTGGATTTTCCAGGATGCCACAAAAATGATTTGGCAATGCCTGATATGTTCGAGGAACGGACCTGAATAAAACTTTTTTCGGCATACGGCATACATGGGAAATCATGGGAATATTGCACAGTGGTTATCCATTGTGGCAACATGTAAACGGGGTGTTTGCTGCCCATCAGCAGTGGCATTCGACCTGAATCTATAGCAGATGGGTCATTATCCTCGTGTAGATCAAGCCACCAAGTTCATTGATGCGCCACCAAAGGGTATTGCATGGAAATGATGTGCTCTTCTACTTACACTTGATGAATATGTGTTGTACCGAAGCATGATGTGAAGTCATCATACTGTATTCCTGTATGTGATATGATGAGAACATATCAGAACACACCCTCATAATCCCTCATACATGTTTTTAATGCAGCACTGTTGCCCTTGAAAGAGGGTGGAAGTTTCCTCATAATTCACTTCAGGCATGTTCAGATATCTTTCACCTTTTCACCTTGAGGAACATGGACACCATGGACACAAGTTCAGCATAGGAGTTGATTGTCTCTGTGATATGATCAACGGGTCACAAGACCAGCGTTTCAGGACATCCGCTCCGTCGCAAGATGCGACCCAAAGGTGGACCATGGGGGATCCCCAGGGCTGGATGGCGCGCCAGTGATGTGAACGTTGGTGAACATCACCCCCATGAAAAATGTTTGAAAAGTATACGGTAGGTATATCTACCATAAACCCAAGATATCCCAAGTGATTGGAGTTATGTTCACCAACTTGGCTAACGAGCTGGGGCACCACCTTGCAAGGATTAAGTTTAGGAATGTTTAGGACATTCTAGGACTCTGGCAGAGAATGGCAGGTGTGTTTTGCAGTGCTTTGTGGGTCGAAAGCCAATGCCACAAGGACTCTGTAAATCTTCACCAAGACTATTGCAAGATGCTTATCCACATGTGTTTCAAGAGGCAAGGCGCTTCCACACCGCTAGTTGCTGCATAGAATCGCTCTTTGGAAATCAATAAGATCATCTACTTATGTATCTTGAGACTTGAACTCAGATAGAAATCCCAAGCTTTGCAGTTGCGATTTTGTCCATCTCCACCTTTGCGAGTCGAGGATGGAACCAGAAATTCCGGACGCTCCAAATTATGGCCAATACCTTCGACAAGAGGATCTCGGGTAGTAGCGGCTGACCATAGCTTCGAGATGCAGAAAAAACATGAAATCAAAAAAGAACATGATTTTGGAATCCCAAATCTCGCCCTAGTGGCACCAAACTGCAATTCAATGCATTTTGTGAGGAAGCACCTCTTGGCTGCTGCAGCTTTTGTTTGTCGAAAATTAATGCTTGATGATCAGTTTTCCCATATACTGTATATATTTATAATAGATATTTATGTGTATATCTATACATTGCCATGTTTTGGGGTATTGGGGTATACCATGGTATATCATGGTCCATTACCCTATGATCAGTTTTCCCACCTATAAGTTGCATTAAATATATTAAATTGCATTTTTTGGGGCATACCATGGTCTATCCATCTGGGTAAATTTCATCACGACCTCACAGTGACCTCACTGGAATCATGGTTAGGGGAAATCATCCCCAAATGGCCTTAATTCAGGTTAGTGAATTATTATGGCCTTTACCCAGATCCATGGTCTATCCATGGTCTATTCCCATCGTGGTCCATGGTTTTTTGACCACTCTCCAGGACAAGCCTCGGCCCCCCATGGTGCTGCCCGTGAAACGCTTGGACTTCGTCCTTCACCGTGCGCCGCCGTGAGACGAGGGACGTGGAGAAATGGGGAGCCAGAAATGGATGACGTCTTTATAGAGTAGGATGTAGTAGGAAACCATGGATTTTCCCATGAAAAATATAGGGCTAATCTTGAATAATCTTGAATCTTGAATAATATCGGCTAAGAAATCTTGAATCTTGAATAACATGGGCTAAGATAGAGGTGTATGGTGGCCTGTGTAGGATATCTGGATTGGTGAAGCCGTTACAGAGTTGCTAAAGTCGTGCCCAAATTGGTGTAACTATTTCAGGAGAGCATATGGAGGTTTCCTAAAATAGGGGTACCCCCAAATCATCCATTTTCAATATGTTGCAATAGGATTTTCCATTATAAACTTATTATAAACCATCTATTTTGGGGTACCTAACGGGTACCTCCATTTATGGAAACCCCCGTATAGTTAGGAAACCATGGATTTTCCATGAAATATAGGGCTTATATATGCTAGTATAGGGTGGGTCCTGTTAAATTTCCCTTGAACCAATTCTTTCAGTATGTCAACGTATTAGAAGATGCCAACATGTTTCGGTCAATGATTTTGAGCCACAGCTAGGTGATGGCTGGTAAGATAGAATGATAAGTATATCATGGTAATACGTTGATATAAATTGCATAATAATAATGATAATAAACATCGTGATAATAATGCAAAGAAGCTATAATAGCAGTAAACATAGCAATAATAGTCCTATCAAAAAAATATGATGGTACTGATTGTATTTTTTACATGTTGAATCAATAGCTATATATATATGTACGATGGACCTTCATGTACTATTTGACCGTTGACTATTTGATTCCATTTCAAATTGAAAGCAATCTCCCAGACGCCAAAAAGAGGTTCAGAGAGACTTTTGGGAGAAGTTCATTATATTTTGAATATTTTGAATATTTTGAAATTCAAAAAATTCAAAATATTCAAAATATTTTTGTATTGGCTAAATTTTTTGAATATTTTGAATATTTTGAAATTCAAAAAATTCAAAATATTCAAAATATTTAAAAAATAATGAAATCACCAAAAAAGAGGTTCAGAGAGACTTTTGGGAGAAGTTCATTATATTTTGAATATTTTGAATATCTTGAATATTTTGAATATTTTGAAATTCAAAAAATTCAAAATATTCAAAATATTTTTGTATTGGCTAAATTTTTTGAATATTTTGAATATTTTGAAATTCAAAAAATTCAAAATATTCAAAATATTCAAAATATTCAAAATATTCAAAATATTTTAAAAATAATGAAATCACCAAAAAAGAGGTTCAGAGAGACTTTTGGGAGAAGTTCATTATATTTTGAATATTTTGAAATTCAAAAAATTCAAAAAATTCAAAATATTTTTGTATTGGCTAAATTTTTTGAATATTTTGAATATTTTGAAATTCAAAAAATTCAGAATATTCAAAATATTCAAAATATTCAAAATATTTAAACAATAATGAAATCACCAAAAAAGAGGTTCAGAGAGACTTTTGGGAGAAGTTCATTATATTTTGAATATTTTGAATATTTTGAATATTTTGAAATTCAAAAAATTCAAAATATTCAAAATATTTTTGTATTGGCTAAATTTGTTTGAATATTTTGAATATTTTGAAATTCAAAAAATTCAAAATATTCAAAATATTTTTGTATTGGCTAAATTTGTTTGAATATTTTGAATATTTTGAAATTCAAAAAATTCAAAATATTCAAAATATTTTTGTATTGGCTAAATTTTTTGAATATTTTGAATATTTTGAAATTCAAAAAATTCAAAATATTCAAAATATTTTTGTATTGGCTAATTTTTTTGAATATTTCGAAATTCAAAAAATTCAAAATATTCAAAATATTTTTGTATTGGCTAATTTTTTTGAATATTTTGAAATTCAAAAAATTCAAAATATTCAAAATATTTTTGTATTGGCTAAACTTTTTGAATATTTTGAAATTTTTGAAATTCAAAAAATTCAAAATATTCAAAATATTCAAAATATTTAAAAAATAATGAAATCACCAAAAAAGAGGTTCAGAGAGACTTTTGGGAGAAGTTCATTATATTTTGAATATTTTGAATATTTTGAATATTTTGAAATTCAAAAAATTCAAAATATTCAAAATATTTTTGTATTGGCTAAATTTTTTGAATATTTTGATTTTTTTGAAATTCAAAAAATTCAAAATATTCAAAATATTTAAAAAATAATGAAATCACCAAAAAAGAGGTTCAGAGAGACTTTTGTGAGAAGTTCATTATATTTTGAATATTTTGAAATTCAAAAAATTCAAAATATTCAAAATAGTTTTGTATTGGCTAAATTTTTTGAATATTTTGAAATTCAAAAAATTCAAAATATTCAAAATATGTTTGTATTGGCTAAATTTTTTGAATATTTTGAACTTTTTGAAATTCAAAAAATTCAAAATATTCAAAATATTTAAAAAATAATAAAATCACCAAAAAAGAGGTTCAGAGAGACTTTCGGGAGAAGTTCATTATATTTTGAATATTTTGAATATTTTGAATATTTTGAAATTCAAAAAATTCAAAATATTCAAAATATTTTTGTATTGGCTAAATTTTTTGAATATTTTGAAATATTTTTGTATTGGCTAAATTTTTTGAATATTTTGAATATTTTGAAATTCAAAAAATTCAAAATATTCAAAATATTTTTGTATTGGCTAAATTTTTTGAATATTTTGAATATTTTGAAATTCAAAAATTCAAAATATTCAAATTATTTTTGTATTGGCTAAATTGTTTGAATATTTTGAATATTTTGATTTTTTTTAAATTCAAAAAATTCAAAATATTCAAAATATTCAAAATATTTAAAAAATAATGAAATCACCAAAAAAGAGGTTCAGAGAGACTTTTGGGAGAAGTTCATTATATTTTGAATATTTTGAATATTTTGAAATTCAAAAAATTCAAAATATTGAAAATATTTTTGTATTGGCTAATTTTTTTGAATATTTTGAATGTTTTGAAATTCAAAAAATTCAAAATATTCAAAATATTTTTGTATTGGCTAAATTTTTTGAATATTTTGAATATTTTGAAATTCAAAAAATTCAAAGTATTCAAAATATTTTTGTATTGGCTAAATTTTTTGAATATTTTTTGAAATTCAAAAAATTCAAAATATTCAAAATATTTTTGTATTGGCTAATTTTTTTGAATATTTTGAATATTTTGAATTTCAAAAAATTCAAAATATTCAAAATATTTTTGTATTGGCTAAATTTTCTGAATATTTTGAATATTTTGAAATTCAAAAAATTCAAAATATTCAAAATATGTTTGTATTGGCTAAATTTTATGAATATTTTGCATATTTTGAAATTCAAAAAATTCAAAATATCCAAAATATTTTTGTATTGGCTAAATTTTTTGAATATTTTGAAATTCAAAAATTCAAAATATTCAAAATATTTTTGTATTGGCTAAATTTTTTGAATATTTTGAAATTCAAAAAATTCAAAATATTCAAAATATTTTTGTATTGGCTAAATTTTTTGGATATTTTGAATATTTTGAAATTCAAAAAATTCAAAATATTCAAAATATTTCTGTATTGGCTAAATTTTTTGAATATTTTGAATATTTTGAAATTCAAAAAATTCAAAATATTCAAAATATTTTTGTATTGGCTAAATTTTTTGAATATTTTGAATTTTTTGAAATTCAAAAAAATCAAAATATTCAAAATATTCAAAATATTTAAAAAATAATGAAATCACCAAGAAAGAGGTTCAGAGAGACTTTTGGGAGAAGTTCATTATATTTTGAATATTTTGAATATTTTGAATATTTTGAAATTCAAAAAAATCAAAACATTCAAAATATTTTTGTATTGGCTAAATTTTTTGAATATTTTGAATATTTTGAAATTCAAAAAGTTCAAAATATTCAAAATATGTTTGTATTGGCTAAATTTTTTGAATATTTTGAATATTTTGAATTTCAAAAAATTCAAAATATTTTTGTATTGGCTAAAATTTTTGAATATTTTGAATATTTTGAGACAAAAAAATTCAAAGATATTCAAAATATTTTTGTATGGCTAAATTTTTAATATTTTGAATTTGAATTCAAAAAAATTCAAAATATTCAAAAATTTTTGGTATTGGCTAAATTGTTTGAGTATTTTGAATATAACACTTAAGAATAGAAAATTTTCAGCAAGAGTACGGCAAGAAATGTCTGACAGAAAATTCATTCACAAGAATATTGTTGTATTGGCTAATTTTTTGGAATATTTTGAATATTTTGAATTCAAAAAATTTCAAAAATTCAAAATATTTAAAAATAATGAAATCACCAAAAAAGAGGTTCCGAGAGACTTTTGGAAGAAGTTCATTATTTTTGAATATTTTGAAATTCAAAAAATTCAAAATATTCAAAATATTTTTGTATTGGCTATTTTTTTTGAATATTTTGAATATTTTGAAATTCAAAAAAATCAAAATATTCAAAACATTTTTGTATTGGCTAATTTTTTTGAATATTTGGAATATTTTGAAATTCAAAAAATTCAAAATATTCAAAATATTTTTGTATTGGCTAATTTTTTTGAATATTTTGATTTTTTTGAAATTCAAAAAATTCAAAATATTCAAAATATTTTTGTATTGGCTAATTTTTTTGAATATTTTGAAATTTTTGAAATTCAAAAAATTCAAAATATTCAAAATATTCAAAAAAGAGGTTCAGCGAGACTTTTGGGAGAAGTTCATTATATTTTGAATATTTTTATTTTTTTGAAATTCAAAAAAGAACACAATATTCAAAATATTTTCGTTTTTGGCTAATTTTTTTGAATATTTTGTTTGTTTTTTCGAAATTCAAAAAAATCAAAAAAATGTGAATGCATATTTTTTTGATTTTTTTGAATTTTCTGAATTCAAAAATTATAAAACATTGAAAACATGAATACCCCAAAAGTGAGAAGCTGGGCTCCCAATAGTAATCTATACAG